AGCGTCCACCAGTGACCAGGAGTACGCTACTGTGTATTAGTTTGGGGCAGTTGCCTACGGTACAACCTAATCCAGCTGTCTGCTTCCTCCTACCCTCCCATACTCTACCAGCAGTCTGCCACCCTAATAACTCCCCATCTTCTCTACTCCTGGTCGCTGGTGTACGGTAGTAGACGATGATAGACCCTAATTTGATACCCTGACCCTTGAGACGCTGGTGGACGCTGGTAGACGCTATCGTTCGCTAGATCGATATCTATACTTTCCTAGTCGCTGACGCTGACGGACGCTCGAAACGCTGATGGTCGCTGGTGGACGCTGGTGGTTGCTGGTTGAGTTTCCGCAGTTTCCGCAAAGTATGAACGTAGCCTAAGCGTTATAGAACTGTGGTGGTACGGGTAAAGACCCTGACTTTTGTGCTCGCATCTAAACGCCTTTCCTCCCACAATGGTGAAGAGAAGAGGGTGGCTGATTAGGTTGGTACAATTTGTCCATCTTTACTAAAACCATCAGCGCGGACTGCGTTATTTGATACATTCATCCAAAAACGGATAGATTCAAGCCGTGCACTGTAGCCAACTGATTCGAAATGAAAAACACTTTACAGCACTCCTTTATGTGAATTTTGTTTTTTTTTCTGCAGATCGCGAACCTTTTCATCAGAAACATAGCACCTGGAACATCTGAGCTAGCTCTCAAGCAACTATTCGGTGGCGAAGAAGCGGTGAGTGTCACTCTTCATTTTCCGCTTTCAAAAAGTTTATAGCCTTAATAATCGCCTAGCAGGAAGAGTTTTCATCGCCTTAGATTCTGAAGTCTTTGTGAGCTTTGCTTTCAGGGAGTTGCACGTGTGAAGATCCAACGAACCTATGGTTTCGTACGTTTCAATAAACGAACTCAAGCAGAAATCGCTAAGGAGAAACACAATGGCGCGCTTCTGGTAAGAGATCTTTGCTTGTGTCCACCTCTCAGGTTTTCTTAGAATGATAATAATCGATTCAGAATGGAAGTCGCCTAGAGGTTTCATGGGCTCGCCCGCCACCTCCTGGACGAACCACCAAGAAAACACCTCCGATTGGGAAACATCGACTGTTCACCATGAATCCTAGCATTATGCAACAACCAATGTGCGTCAAGGTTTTCTCACTATTGCTAGTTCTATCATACGGTATCCGACAACAAAAATATTCCAAAACTTTAGACCTCCGAATTTGTTATTTCATCTCCTTGTTCGTAAGTATTGTGGCAGGGGGTAGGCTTCTCTAGCTCCACGTTGCAGCACAGGTGGCCAAAAAGTTATTCCAAACCGAGTTACAATCGATGTTGCAGAGGTGGAGAGGGCGTGGCTGCGTTCTCTTCTTTACTTCATGGCGTAGGAAAGTATTTTCCCCATCCCGTACAACCGTCAATTTGTGTTGCGCTTGCTAAAGAAATTACTACCATTATCTCAAAACGGCAAAAGCCCACCAGGAGCTAGGCCGCCGCTTCCCTCATACTATATGAGCAACCACTCCTCCCCC